TATTGAGAAACCATACGATCAAAAACCATCAAGAAATGCTTTCAATATTCTTTACGACAAGGAAGAGGCAACCAGACACTACTGCAACGGGGATGATGCCAGCCTAGCATATTTTCCTAAATTACAAAAATGTCACTGTTAGGCCAGAGTGGTTTCCCCTCTTTGTTGAGTCCACTTGCGAGAATATTTTTTTAAAGTCATATATAAAAAAAGTAAATTATGTCTTAATTTCGAAATGTTAATAAAATTTTTTTCAATTCCCTTCACTTGGAAACAAATGATTTGCTAACTGAAAATGTTTGAATCAAAGTATGATTAATCAATATCTCTGATCTTTTCATCTGAAAATACTTCGGAAAGACCCTGATAAATTGCATTGAATTTTTGTTCTACATTATACATTATAATTATATAACATATGTTGTTAACTTGGTATCTTATACTTCCCTTTCTTATGTAGCAATATACCCTGAACACCTGAATATGGAGTTTTTGTCTCCCAGTTGATTCGATACGCAAGAGGGTCCTCTACGTATGAACAATTTCTAAAACGAGGCAAGCGATTGACAAACAAGTTGATGAAACAAGAATATCAGCAGTTTCGTTTGAAGTCATCATTTTGTAAGTTTTATGGTCGATACAATGACCTTGTCAGCAAATACACCTGTCATTAAGTCAAATGCTGACTGAAGTTATTCATACTAATTGATAGGCCATTATTTACACACTGAATTGTCTACGGATTTTTCTGTTTTTCCCGATCAGGACAAGGAGCATACTGCTGGTGTGACCGGTCGGCAGGGGATGCTCACTCTTTCATAGCACATAATCACATCTCTGATGTTTTTGCAGTTCCATGTTTGCTCTGCTCCAAATTTGTATTGTCTAAATGGACTTTGAGCTTGACTTTCGCTAACTTTCGTTATCTCCGTATTTCATACTTCATGTCACATAGTGATAAGCATGTTGCTCATGTTTTGTTGTGTTTATTCATTTCTAATCTGTGATAACACAACTCTTCACCACACAGCCATTCTACAAAAACATCACCAAATAACAAATTTTCATGTCGCTTACAGTTCACCGTTGCAACATTATATTTATAATTTAAAAGATCGATTTCAACCCTAAGAGTAAGGATATATACGAGGGTTGTCCAAAAAGTTCGTGGACAATGGCGTTTTTGTCAAAATGAATGGTTCAAGATATGCTTATTGTATATCAAAATATTAGTCATGAAAATCCAAGTCGAAATAGTTTGGTTTTTATTGTTTGAACTTAATATTTTTGTAAAAATCTCGGTAATTACAGGTCGCCGATAGTGCGCACGGACCAGGGTTAAAATGCCATGAACTTTTAAATAAAGTGATCTGATTGAAACGATTATTTTCTTTTTAAAACGAGTCAAAGCTGAATAAAAATTTAATATATCACAAATAAAGCTGTTATCGCTATTTTCTGATACCTTTTAAATTAGTATCGCTTACTCAATAGACAATGAAAATATTAAGTGAAAACCACAAGAAGTATGTTTCAAAAATTGACAGAAAAAGCGACGTAGGCCATCTGAACGGGACAGCGTCCAATCATACAATTATGGTTAATATGGTTGAAACGTCGTCAAAAAGAAATATTTTTTCAAACAACTTAAATTTATTGGAAAATATTTAGTCTAGTGATTTGTAATTGGTGTATACGATTTTTCAACGGTATGTAAAATTTCGGAGACACTACAAGAAGTGGAAAACTACTGTTATTTGATGAAAATAGGATATATTCCTATTCATGACGTTGTTATAAATATAGCGCCGTCGGACTGGGATGTGCATCTTGTGTTTACGAAGTGTTAATATTAATGACGCTCGTAAATTATTGTGTATTGTTTTGAATTTTAAAATTTAAATTAATCATAATCTATACATAAATATCATTGCACAAATTTGGCAATATGGCATAATAAAGAAAAATAGCGTGCGTCTATGAACATGAGATAAAAATTCAAAATTCATATTTCTGACGTTATCATGAAAAAAAGCGTTACGTCAGACTGGCCCGTGCGACTTGCATATACAAAGTATTTACACCTATAGTGTTCAGTAAATAATGTGCATTGTTTTAATTTTTTGTACATTTACTCAATCATGGTCTATATAAAGATATTATCGTACATGTTTGCCATTGCGGACTTAATAAAGAAAATTAAGCATTTGTCCACGAACTTTTTGGACAACCCTCGTATATATATATATATATATATATATATATATATATATATATATATATAGTTTTGAAAATATTTACACAATAAAATGTGAAGGATGAAACCAGAGACCTCGGAATGGAATACTCGGAAGTCTTTGGTTTTATCCTACATTTATAACCCCAACCGGAAGTTCTGTATCCCATCTAAAGTCTTCATATATATCGAGGTAATTTTCGAGGAATAAATGAGTGGTTTACAATAAAGAGGCTCGAACAGAGACGTCTGAAACGATTTATTTAGCAAGAAAAAAGTCTCTCGAAGCGAACATGAAGCGATGTCATTTTACAGTAGGTTAATGATTGATATATTAAAAAAGTACTGTACCTGAAATTGAGTTAGATACCTTGTGGTAAAAATACTTGTAAGTAGTGGGTGCCCCATATACGAAACAAGTGCCTGTGGTAGTATGAAATGATTTCCAGATTCACTTCAATACTGTCTACAAGTGAAAGTGATGCAAAGCGTGAAACTGACCACAAGAATGATTAGTAGCATTTTAAAGTATTTCAATAGTTTGAAGTAGAAAGGTATATGATGCATTTTCTTGTGAAAATGTAAACCTAGATTAAATTTCTGTGCATTTTCAAATACTTTTATTTTCAGTGAATTGTTAACTATTACTTTAAACTAATATCAAGTCATGGATATGGAAATCGGACATAAGGGATATGATTGTATCATCATAAAATAATTTGTTACAAGATGAAGAAGGAAAAAAGAACATATTTTTAAAATTTATAACTTGAATGTCGCAATAATTTCTGACAAAAAAGACGTAAACACTTTTCACGTGCTGATACACCGGATCTTTGTCACGTGACAATGGCGATGACATCGTTTTGATAGATAGGTATCACAATAAATGCCGAAAAAATGAAGAAAAAAGTATTACTGTGTTGTTTGCAACTGTAGTGTATTCAAAAAAGAATAAACCCCACTTTGGTACTGTAATTAATATCTGGAAACTAATTACGTTTTGTGTTCATATCTTACATACACCCATGTTACAATTTTTTATACAATCATAGATTAATAAATTTCTGATGAGAAATGAAAAACAAAGTGAAACGTATTTATTACCATTTCGACTTAGTATTAAGCGAATTTAAAAATCTTATTCATAATCTTTATGCATGTTCTCAATAATGAATTTTTCAATCGAACCAATAAAAAAAATAACGTCTCATTTCCCCATGTGCACCTTCTAACACAACCACAGAGATCGGCTGCTCCTGTGGCCGATAATAAGTATAAAAAACATGAACAAAATTGACTTTAAGGTAAAAAGGTCAAGGTCAGATTTTATTAAGTTTTTCGTCCATTTATTCTATTTAAGAGGGGACACAAATTTTCTGAATTATGACAAGATTCTACACTGAATGGTGTATGTGGTGTTTTAAACATTTTGTAGGTCACATTTTGAATCATCAAGCAATGACATAGACTGTATATTTCAGTAGACGCTGATATCACATTGAACTGTTACACAGTGACTATATTTCAGTAGCAGATGGCATGCTTATACTCACACCAAACTTTTCCGGACTACGTCATCTAATTGTTGTCAGAAAATCCAAAAGTCTTAACTACCAGTAAAATTGTTATATTTAAAACTTAAAGACGAAAAAATGAGTAACCATTTTCTGTTTGTGTTTACGTGAAGCATTGCTATCAGAGTATGACTGAGTTTTTCCTGTTGACTAGATCACTCCCGTGATGGTTTATAATGAAACAATTATCACGCTGAGAAGAGAACGCCCTCCATTCTCCGATATCTCCGACACGGGCCACTTGTCTGTGGTACATGTTAAATTTTTGGTCCAGACCTTTGATGTTTCTGATATTCTAATTTTGGTTATGCTTTATCATAACACTGATTATTCTGCTGGGAACACAATATTTTTTCATTATTTTATCCAATTTTTATTATGCAAAATTTTAAAGAAAAAAAACTCAAATATATACGTAAGAAATAGATCTAAAACAAAAGAAAAAGAAAGGTATTCAAAGGATCTAATTCTACATGCAACAGAACGACACTTTGGAAATTGAAGAAATTTGTTTTTGATCGCGAACCCTGGACACCAGTGGGTCTGTCGTAGCCACAATTCTCGGGAAGTTTATTGCTGCCGCGAACAACGGCGATCTGAGGACGGTCGATCAGCCAGGTTAACAGTCATGGACAACTTAATTACGAAGTCTTTAGATACCAAATTCTCACAAGTACTTATTGTGAGGTGGGTGGCTGGGATCGATGGATCGATTCGGTTTAAAATGCTTGAAAGACCCTCAACATCTGGTTCAGCGATAAAGACGGCTGAAAAATCCGATACCATTATATAAACCGATATATATATAAAACGTTTTATGAGCCAGAAATGATGTCTTTGTTATCTTCAAAGAGAAAGCCACCATCATTCACAAAGTTTCATACAGACTTTTTTTCCTGTCAAATAATATGTATACCATGTTCTAAGGTGTCCAACAATCCTCAAACTGTGATCGATAAAGACAATCACTCACGACCAAGAGTAAATATTGTTTTTGTGGATCGTTAATAAAAGACCGATAGCTAAGCAGTCGAAAAATTATTGAAAATGCTATAAAAGTAAAATTGTATGTTACCGATATCAATACTTTCCTCTATTGAGAATTCAGAGCTCTGTGTGTGAACGCGGACGCACTGCTGCCATCTCCGCTAGCTTAATGGAATCGCCCGCAATCAATATTCTACAGAGAGTCGGCACCGGTTCGGCTGCTGAAACACGGATCTATAATCACTCTATATTTCTCTCTTTCCAGCCGGTTCACCAGAACTTGTAGTGTTTGAAAAAGCAGCAATTATGGATTTACTTAATTCTGAGGAAAGATTTCACCCCGACAGGTAGGTAAGATTTATTTTACTGCCGCTATGATATCTAGAGATAAAGCTTCCTCACGACCGGTTTAAATTTCTCGAGGAGTCGAGAGAACGCAGGCCGCTGTATCCATTTGGAGATGATATTATGATTTCTCTGACAAGTTTTATCACCCCAGTATTTTCGACCCCCCGTTTCCGGATCTATCTGGACAACTGATGGAATATTTTCTGTGGGGGGACTGTGATTGTACTAGAGGGCTGTACAAATCTGGGGGCTTCAAGTGTAAAATTAACATATATTGATCTCGATCGATTCTCCTTCCTCAGTCGGGGGTTAGGTCGAGATTCTAAGCTGTCAATAAGTTTTGTTTTCACGACAGAAAAATATATTTACGTGGATTTCGTGAAAAAAAAATCAGACTAAATTTTTTGTCTTCTAAAGTTCCTGTCTGTGCATGTGTCTTAATTTTTTTTTTAATAAATGAGAATGAAGCTTCATGTGTGCTATTTAGAATGATTAGCGACTACAAGGTCTTTACGGTTGAGGGGAATCTTCTTTTTAATTGGTGATCATTTTCTCCGTGTATTCTGCTTCTATTAAATATTCAGCATTGGTTAGGAGGTTTATGGAGCATCCGACACGGTTTGTGCCACTAATATAAAGACAAAGCATTGACAAGCAGAGAGATAGAGATTTAGAACACGGTGGATGAAGACAAGTTTAAATAAAAAGAGGGGTAGGTGGAAGGAAAAAAGTAGCAATGAAAATACCGTCTTGTTGGAACATTTCAGTAGCAGGGTATACGAATGCAAACATATACATAAACTGTCAAGCAAATGTAAGATTCGCTGTAGAGGAACTCAGGTACCTGAATTTTTATTAGTAAGTAGCAAATAAAGCCTTATATCTACCTACTGACCAAAAAAATCAGATACCTGTGCTGAGACTAGCTCTACTGAAATAGGGAGGAGTGAATCGAGTGGGGGGGGGGGTCTGTAATAAAAGACGTCCAACTATTCCACTATTATTTGCATTTAGAAGGTTTTGAAATCATTTTCGTAAAATTTCAACATCCAAATTTATTTTTTATTTTACATAATCATCTTTTTAACAATGTACATGTATATTGATTTCTGATAACTACATTCCTTGAAATTTGATTTAATTGAAAGTTCTTTATAGTACATGCATAATTTATTAGGAGAGAGAGCATATCAAAGATAGCGATTTTATATCGATTGAAATGGGATATGTTTTTAAAAATACCGGTATGCAGAGAAATATGACCTGCTGTCTCTGTTGATATGCAGTGTTGATGCTGTGTGTAATTAGAATTCCTTTTTACGCGTTATCAATGTGATCAATGGGCATGTATACATAATGTGGAGCAACTAGAGATATCTGAAATGAAAAGTCGACAGGACTAATAGGGGGGCGAATGATTATCGTGATGAAAAGGCGAGATGATTTTAAGTCGGATGAATGGACCTGAATGGGGATCTTACGTAGATAATGCAATGAGGCACCGACGCAGTTGTTTGTTTCGATAATTAATTAGTAAACAAGCACCTGCCAAAACCATTACTATCCAGCTATCACATGTTTAAACGGTCATAAAAGGAAACTGGCCTGTGTTTCTAAAAGAGTTTTGAAATTATAGTAAATATGATGGTCATTTCGAATTCTAAATAATATTTGTTGTTTAATTACCGGTATATAATCAATTATGGACATTTATGGACTTCTACGTATATATCTCACTGAATTTTTCCTTTTTGCGATTCTTTACATATTAGATGGAGAAAACAAGAAAATAAAATTAATTTGAATCCAAACCACGTGAGCAGAAAATTTCATTCTTAATTAACATTGGTTTTAGAAAAGGTTAGGTTTTTATTGACTTAAGACAATTCATGCAAAGCAAGTTGAGAAAAAAAGTCGTGCAATTAATCTGTTAATTGTACATGTACATTGGGCCAGAGCCTTTGTATGAAGTGTTCTTTTCTATAAGGTAAGTCAAATTTTCTTGTCAAATAATAATTTCTTTAAGATATGAAAAGTTCCCCACACACATGGATTTCAGGTAATGAAAAGAAACAGGTAAATAAGATGTTGATGAGGACTTTTCTGCTTTGAGAAAAAGAAATCTTCGGTCAAGGCTTAATGTGCATGCTAGGTTTTGAGAGGAGGGAGAGAGACGTCACTACTTGTTATAGGTTAAATAATTCTCAGTCACTACTTGTTATAGGTTAAATAATTCTCAGTCGTCACTACTTGTTATAGGTTAAATAATTCTCAGTCATTTATGTGGATAACTTCAGCATGCCTCCTATGCAGGAGTATCGAAGTCATTTGTCACGACAAACCACTACAGTCAAATTGGAGAACGATTTTAACAGTAGGTGAAAATTAATGCGATAAGAGCAAAAGGTCTGCATGGGAAAAGATTGCACAGTTCCAACAAAAGAATATATTGCCTTTTGATTATTAACAATTGTGTATAATGATAAATCTGATAAAATGTCATAAAATATAAAAAATTGTATAGAGATTTACTTATTAAAAATAGTCGCGTTTTCTAACTCATCTAATTAGCACCTAGTCTCGCAGACTTAAAGAATAGATGGAAAAAAATTATAGCAATGTTCAATCAAGAATAAACCAGCCAAGATGATTTTCATGATAATTAAAATGGAGACTTATATTTGACATTTTGTAAACTATTCTAAAACTTTAGTGAGACCATTGCTTGTAGAGAGATGGAAAACAGACTGATTCTCTCTCTCTCTCGAATACTAATACATGTATAAGGCAATGTTCCTTTTTAGATCATGCAGTTCTATATTTCTGGATTTTGATCAAAATCGACCAACCCGGTGTGGCAAAATTGATCGTTTTATTCGATATTTAAAATATTTTTTTTATAGCAATTTGTCAAACAGAGATGTATCCTATATGTGATTCTAGAATCGATTCTAATTTTTATCATCATTTGCTATAAATAATTTATCCGGTAATTTTTATTCTATACTCGAAATGAAAACCCACCATTGTTATTTGAGGCTTCGGAGCGACACCTATAGGATGATTTACTGTTGATAGACGGGCTTGCTTTAAAAAAAATTAATGCCCGGAAAGTGATTGATTACTATTTGTTTGGAAAGATTTTTGTTAAAACCTTCGCACTTTGTGGACAAGCGCTTCAATTGGGTAGAGAGAGAGAGAGAGAGAGAGGTTGAGGTTTTTTTTCTCATAAAGAAACATAAATTGAGAGATTAAAAGTCATAATGAAACAAAAGAAGTGAAAAAAGGAAAGAAAAAAGAAAACATCTATCACTACAATTTAAATACTAACCGTATATAAACGTATTTACATTTTTTTTCTTTCTTTTTAAATTTGAATGTTGCAAACCCTTAGATATGGAATAAATCCGAAGCTCTGTGAAACTGAGAAATAAGATTTTAAGTGGAGCACGGTGAAATTTATATTTTGTGTGAATATCAGAAAATTATTAAAATTCCAATTAATTACTACTATATATAATTCATTTAACAATCAATACTTATTTTACCTATTGATTAATGCATGATATGCTTTGAAAAGTAAAGTATTGAATTCTATAGCATTTGGCATTTCAGTGAAAACAATCGATATATATACGTGGCTTTCACTATATATTTATTTGGATTTTTCTCTTCTACTTTTACATCTACAGTGTACGTGTGCTATTTTTTATAGGGAGTCTAAAATTGTTCGCTCTAAATTTTAAAAAAAAATCCTTAGGACATATATAGCAAGTTTTTATTTTTCTTTTATTTTCAGTGGTTTTGTAAATACTTGTCATCGTCCTTGGGTGATTTATATTTATTGCTTTTCTGACCAACAAGACATATAGTTTGGTCCATGAGTAATTAATCAGACAAACTTTTCGCATGATAAATATGGCTCCCATGTATTTTTAATATATTCGATCAGTGCATACTATCTATTCAAGAAATATTACTAGTCAGGTACTCTTCACACAATTGCTCGGAAAAATATAGTTCCATTCATGATCATCAGAAACAAGATTACAACAAATTTTTAGAATATCGATGTGTATGTAATACTTGGAAGAAAACAAAATTAACGTAAAGTGATTTTAAGAAAATCACTTTTCCCACAGAATTTTAAATAAGAAGTATTCATATTCCTACGCTAGCTTTTTCACGAAAATATATAGGTCATTCTTCGATTGACAATTTTTTTCACCAATTATATTACTTTCATGATTATTGTTCGTTAATTATTATATATACAATTTCTCTGAGAGAGAATGTTAATCATTAATTGTGTGTTTTTGACGTTATGAAAAGCCAAAGTTATTTAAGCGGGGTCATTAATTATGTCATAAAATAAAACACGTTATCATGAATTTTGGACATTTTGAGATGTCCCCCTCTGGAAACCAGACAGTAGAATTTTGTCGTTCTTGCATAAAATGTACAATATAGTATTACCCATCAAATAATATAATTTGAGCAAAAAGTCTATAGTAGCATTTGTATAATTTGCTCCGAAGTGCGAAAAAATGGTACTTTTCTATATAATCCTATAGTAAATGTAGCTGTATTTTGAGATGGTCCCTAAATAATAACCAGACGGTAGATTTTCACTAAACTTGGCATGTATACTGAAGTCAATGTAAGGTACATATGGTTTAAAATTAAAGAGTTTCTCTATAGTAGTTTTCACACAATAAAACCCCAGTCGGCTCCCTTAACTGAGCACAGTAAAGATTTGGTCGAATACCTTGCCATATTTGTTCCTGTTATGTATACGATATTTTTCAATGAACATTGTATAGTACTATATGTAATTCAGGAATGGATCCCTCTGTAAGATTTTGCAATTGGTGTAGCTACTTCCTGGTAATATCACTGCGCGTACTGACAAGCCCTGTGAAATTTACCTGATGTTTTTCCAGTGCCATCGCTTACTTTGATATGTACACTTTGCGTCACTATTTAACAATTCTTTATGACGC